GGAGGAAGGAAGGAAGAAAGGAAATCTCTTTTTTCTGACAACTCTTAAGAAGCCAGAGTGCAGAGCAAGAGATGGATGATGGAGTTGGTTCTGCACTGACATGTTAGTCCAGGGGATCTTATCAGAGAGTTTGAAAGGTCTAGAGAATGTACTTTCAGCAGACCTGAGTTTGATTCCCAGTGCCACCATGAGTTGGCTCACAAGTGCCTCTAACTCCAGCTAAAACAGATGCAGCATCCTTTTCTGAACTCCATGGTTGCTGTGCTCACCTACATAAACTCATGCCCTGATGCACGCATGCTCATAATTTTATTTATTTTTAGGTTAAAATTAAAAAGTCTTCCTATTTTAAATTTAATGTGAAGGTAGACTACCATTTTCAAATAAAACAGCTTTCTGTTTCATCCAGATGCTTGTTATAATAAAACAGCTCAAGGGTTTATGGCTTTCAGGTGACTTTTCATTGCCATGTGTATTTTAAGGGGTGTAAGGCATTCATTTATTTTTGGGGAGGTGCGAAAGATGACAACTCGGACCTCATATATGTTAGGCAAGTGTCCTACCTTTGTGGTATACATTGACTTATAACCCTTTGGGTTTTTGCAGAGGAGGGATAAATAAATGATTTTCTTTATTCTGGAATGATTTTGAGACTGTAATTGCAAATTACATAGCCTTCTGCAGTGGGACACTCGCAGGGACTCTACTAGGTTAGCGTTCAGGTGTCAAGCTCAGAACACAGCTTCCCTGCCCTTTTCTGAACTCTGTGAAGAACATCAAGACTGCAGGCAGAATTTCTTAGCCCAGTGTTCTGTACATATGTTCACTTAGATGACTGAAGTTTTTATAATTTGTTTTGTTTTTAATCATGGGTTTGTGTACATGTGAGTGCATGTCATGTGAGTGGCTGCCCTCATGGGTATGTGTCCATGTGAGTGCATGCCATGTGAGTGGCTGCCCTCATGGGTATGTGTCTATGTGAATACATATCATGTGATTGGCTGTCCTCAGAGGCCTGAGGCCTTGGACCCTCTAAAACTGGAGTTACAAGTAGTTGTGAGCCACTGGATGTCAGGTCTGGGAATCAAACTCACGTACTCTGGAAGAATACTCTGCACTCTTAACGGCTGAGTCATCTCTTCAGCCCTCATATGAGTCAAATTTTTACCCAGGTTGTGCAACCTATAGATTCCTTTAAACTGTGTGCTGAAGTTGATGTAGTTAGATTTTTTTTTTCGTAATGCAAACACACCCAAGTCTGCTTCTTTTATAAGCTGCTCTTAGATGTGAACCTTAAAACCACAGTGTGTTTCTCTTTGACTTTAAAATAGGTCGGGTTATAATGTCAGAGATGGATGCTAGCTAATCACCAAGCTTATCACATGTATCCTTGGGCTTCAATATGAATATCTCTACATAATAATTCATTTAAAAACAGAGTCATTTAGTTAAGAGGACAAAACCAAAACCACTGTGGAAGCCCATGGGGGGTGAAACCTCATTGGTAAAATGGGTAAATCTGCTCCTGCAGCTTCTTACTACCCCACTGTAAGAACACACAGCCTGGGGTACGTGAAGAGCACTGTGAAGGTTAAATGAGATAAGAGCTCTTAGTCAGGCCTTAGGACTTTCTGGCTGGGGCTAAACCGTCTGGAGCCAGGCTGGCTGAGATCGGGCAGGCTGACTGAGACCCGGTTACCATCAGGTCTCTACAACAGAGAAAGGCCATGGGCCAGCTGCACCTTGGGCTCAGAGTCAACAATGCTGGCTGGCAGTCAGGGGTGAATCTGTATGCCCCTGTTCCATCCGCCACCTACCAGTGATCTAAGGTCATCCCGAAACATTTTCTTCTAGAAAATAGTTATGGACCACGAGGGAAAAGGAAACAAAAAGGGACCTGAGAGTGACCAGGAGAGGAGATGAATTTATACAGTGTCGAAATACCAAGGGTCCGTGTGAGGAAAGTGTTCTTACGGGACACTAGTGCTGCTGGCCTGTGGTGATGAACTTCTGCTCTCAGAGCGTGAGAGGCAGCATGACACACAAGTTTAGCTGGCCATGCCCATATCCCTGCCTTTGAGCTAGACTCTGCTTGAGGGAACTGTGACCTCTCAGCTCTGTGAGTGGCAAAGCAATTAAAATACCAGAAACACAGATTTGAAAGCATGGACGGAACACCCTTCACCTTCAGTGTTCGAAAATCTGAGTTTTTAAAATGTTATCCCAATGCCACAATTAGGAAGCTATACGCCTGACCTCGTATGACAAGTCTCAAGTCTCAAACTGCAGTTGTGACGAAGATGTGTGAAGTCACCTGTAGACTGACTGCATGATGTATGTGGCAGATAATCCATGTGAGATTTCACTTTTAGATGTTGGGTCACATCCTCAAGATGGCTCACTCTAAACATGAATTTTCTAGCACTCCAAAAAAAAAAAAAAGTCTATAACCTTTGAGACCCAGCCAGGTCAGACAAGTGTACCTCAGCCTGGATGTTTTTGAAGTCAATAATTGTATTTTTGCTGAATGTAGATAACCATTAGGCCAGAAAAAAAAAAAACAGAAGGTAACCTGCTGTTTGCTTGTGCAATCCTGCAAAGTTGCATGGGTTACTGAAGGTCAGGCTGCATAGATGATTGATGACCAAAGTGAGATTCCCAGTTCCCCCATGGCCTGTGGGTGCTCTGTCCCCTCTTATACTTTATGAACAGTAAACATCAGTTGCCAATGAGCACTAACTTGATCAACTTCATCTCTCTGAAGACTGGAGATCTTTGGGAAACTTTGTCAGCCAAGCAAAGTCAACAGACCAACTCCCATTCAAAAGGCCAGGTCCTCAGCTCTGCTCACCTCCCTCTCTGACCACCAGGTGAGCTTCTGTATCTCTGGCAACTGGTGGCTTTTGCAATGTTCCTGTTTACCTGCTCTATCAAGAAGGGGGCAGGGTGACAGTGCTCTGCGGGACATTAATAAAGATAAGAGAGGCCATGGCTACCAAACAGAGTTTTCAAAAGCCCTCCCTTGGTTTCCCGGGCTGCAGGACTGCGTGTATAGACACACATACCCACCCATGCAGGAACTATTACTGCCATCCGATTATTGTCATTGTAATGTCTATTCAGCTGCCCCTTTGTACGTTCCTAGAGGGCAGGGACCGTGTCGTGGGCTGCTTTTCATGAATTCATGCCTTCCTGCTTCCATTCACTCGCCCTACAAACATTTATTGAGTGCAGCCTTTGCTGGGTCAGCCACAGTGCAGAGGACACAAGACATAGCCACCTCCCTGTCCTTGGCAGCATGACCTAGCCTGGCTGTCAGCCGTCATCCTTCCTTGGCAATGGATCCCCACACAAGGCACAGGCTGCAGCATCTGCAGCAACCAGAAGGCCACAAGGCAACAGGTGGTACCTTCTTCCATCACCACCTTCATTTCCTCTACATTTTTATGTAAACCCAGATTTCTATTTTAAACTATGATATAATAAATTCTTCTTCCTGAGCATATTTATTCTCAGCCCCAGATTCTTCTTTCCGCATCATTTAGCTGCCCATTTGAGTCATCTAGGCAACATCAAGATACTGATGATGCTTGGGTAATACGCACAGGGGCTCCTAGAAACTGAGATCACTCCTGGAGGCTCTAACTAGAACCTCCAGAAAACCCAACATAGGACAAAGGGCTCCAGGCTCAGAAGCAGGGTTGATTCTCAGGTCTGCTTCATGGTGGAGAGGCTTGTCTGTAGCTCCCTGTCTGACTCATGTTTCCCATCTACACCCTGCATTGCACACTTGGCTCAACACATTCCTGCCAGCTCTGGGCCTCAGATGCATCCTTTGCTGGTATTCTCTGAACACACTTGGATGCTCTGGTCCTGTTGAAGCTTCAAGACTCTGGCCCACCACAGAAGTCTTCTGTCTTGAAGAGTAGTCTTTCTTGTGACTATAGGGATAGCCCAATTATCTCTAGAGTCAGGGATCCAGTTCCTCAGCCTCTGCCTGGAGAGCAGTGTAGGATACTCATTAGTCCACCGTAGCCTGTTCTCACCAATGGCAGTAAGACCCTTAGAAACAATTTTTGGCCAGGTCGGATGCTTCTCTAGTAATTTAAAATTTGTGCCATCCCCTGCGCTGTTTTCCTATGTTATGCTAGAATTCTCATTCGCTCATAGGCAATAGATGGTTTTAGTGTTGACTTTGAAGGCTGTGTTAAAACTTATAACCCTATCTAAAGTATCATGAAATCAGGTGTAATGGCACAGGCCTGTAATCCCAGCATTGGGGAGGGTGAGTCAAGAAGAGGGTGATGAACTTAAGGTCAGTCTATGCTGAGGATAGTGATACTCTATTTAAAAAAGAAGAGGGTGGCCAGAAAAGGGAGGAGTAGGAGAGAAAAAAGGAGAAGGAAAAAAATTGAAGAAGAGGAAGAGGAGGAAAGGGAACAATGGTAACAGCAACGACACTGTTGGGCACCAGCACTCTCAAACATACAGAGGTTTTAAGAGATGCCGTGAGGGTCTGCCCCAAAACTGATAGGTCATTCTTGACCACAGCAGAGGCCACAGTGTGACCTTATGTTAGAAACTCACTGCAAAGGTTTTGTGCAGACAATGAAGACTCCAGAAAAGTATAACTAAAACCACAGCGCGGTACCACTTCACTTTCTCTATGACAGCCTTGGTTGGTTTTGAAAGTAATGTGATAGCAAGGATGTAGAGAAATTAGAATGCGTGAACCCTGCCAGACAGAAAGCAAATGGTGCCACAGCTCTGGAGAGAGCAGTTGCCAGTTCCTCAGAGACTGTAACATAGCATTGCCCTGGTCTCTACAATTCCACTGTGGGCACTGTTCACTGTAGCCGAATGGTGGAAACAACCCAAGCACCAATGAGTGGGTGTAATCATGAAAAGCACAAGGACATGGACACACACACATACACACACACACACACACACACACAATAAGCGCAATGTGTATTTAATATTCCATTACCTGGAAAAAAAACATACACTTCACACTAAAATTAACATTAAGGAATGGTAGGAACACATGCAAGAATTCTACTTTCCTAGGATTTCCAATAGTGACCCTCAATCTTCTAATATATTCCCATTTGTTTCAGGAGATTCTGAATGGAAGAATCTGAAAAGGTTCCCCCACCTCTTGCTTTGTTTAAATTCTGTCCTTCATAAACAATTTGAATTAAGCTTGTCTGGTTGCTTTTCTCTAAAAGGTGATTGTCTTCCAAATCTCTACAAAGAGACCTGTGTACCTATTAATATATCAGTTCCATTCATTCTGTCTGCTCTTTAGCAGAACTGTGTTTAGAACACAACCATGGTGTAGGTCAAATGAAGCCAGGCCATCATGCTAGGCTCCTGGCTGGAGGAATGGCAGTAGATACAGCCCTTGGAATGACCTGTAAGCACTGAGCTGAAATGTTTTCAACTACTCCCACGTCATTGAGTCTGCTCGATGTTTGCCTACGGTCAAACCTAGTTTCCTTGATAAGATATAGAAAGCCTTGTCCTGGGAGTCTGTCCCAGGGAGGCCACAGCCGGCAGCAACTGTGTTGTCTGTCCCCATCTGATGTCTGAGGGCAGAAATTGAAGGTCCATTCCAAGGATGTCTCTGGCAGTCGAGCTGATTCCTGCAGATAACATTGTGAAGGTGTGTCTCAGAGAGCCACAGTCTCATGACGTCTCCAAAAGGAAGATGGCGTGTGCAAGGGGAGTCATCAAATCTCAAGTCAGACAAGATGGGATAAAAAGAGAAGCAGATGAACTAGAATATTGTTTTATTGCTTTGAAGATTAAATTTATGTGGCTATGTGTATGTGTGTGTTTCTGTCTGTGAGTATGACTGTATGAGCCCAGGTGGCCTATAGAGGCCAGAAGGTATTGGCTATCTAGAACTGGAGTTACAGAGGGTTGTGGACCACCAGTGCAGGGTGTTGGGGACAGTACCTGAGTCCTTTGCAAAAGATGGAAGAATTGTTGACCACTAGGCCATCTCTTCCGCCCCGATTTCTTAAAAATACACCTTTAAACAAAATTTTAACTGTTAGTTATCTTTTCAAAACTCTAACAGAGGACAACTTCATGAGGTCATATACGTGGAAGCATGGAGATGCCTGTATTCCATTGTTTTAGACCTATAGAAATACTACATTCAAGCGGTTCAGCCAAATGCTTAACCTAATCTACAAACTCCTGACAATGCTTCAATTAGGGGTTTGGGCAGGAAATATTGTGTATGTCTAAGAGAAGGACAGAGCAAACCCCAATTTAAAATTAACTAACCAAGAAAGAACAACAATAACAATCGTTCCAAGGTTTGCAAAAAATTTCTCTCCAAGGAGGTGAGCAAGACCTTGGCGTTGGCATGAGCTAATGGTAAGGACAGACAGGCAGACACCAGTCCTGGTGGTCTCCTTTACAGACATGTCCTGTGACGGGAGCTACACAACAGGATACACCACCCTCAGGGCAGTTATGAAATTGGTACGATGGGCCGAGGGTTTCACTCGTGACTGAGTGGCTAGCGGGCATGTTGGCAGGGGACAGCGTTCAGACAAAGGCTCTTCTGCAGTGGGAACAGGTACAGGACAGATGGCTTGTTAAATATTGCCAGCATGCTCAAGCAGTGCCATGCGGCGGTCGGAGCTGGGATAATTGTCACCAGGGCATTGTGCAGCCGAGCGTCAGCTCAGTTCAGCCGGCTAAAGCTGTTGCTTATCTTTGTTGGTTTTGCAAAGATTAGAGTAGTTCCTCGGCTTTGAATGCACCCCAGCTGCCCAGCAAAGCATTCGTGAAGTCTTGTCTGGATTCTTGATGCTAGAGGGGCAGTGTGGATGTTGGCACATGCACAGGCTCATTGTGCTCCCAGCGGAAGTGACTTTTCAACCCATCCAAACTGGTCTTCGTCATTCATGCAGGCAAAACACTACTAAAGGGCACTGGCCTTCTTTGGGAACCTTGCCCTGTGGCCTCCAAAATGCATCTGGCGTAGATTGATATTTCCTATTAGGATTGATTCATTTGCTACTCTTTCAGGAAGGGGTAAAGCCCCATCGTAAATTCCATCCGGTGAATCATGGGGAGGCAGTGGCTCAAATTAAGGGTGTTTGCTTTCGGAAGGGGCCCTCAGCTTCTTATCTTTATGTACAGAAGAAAATAGATCTCAGCCGCCCCACAGCCAATGGAACTTACCTGGCCAGTCAGCTGCTGAGGCCCAGTCCCTGCCACCTAGGGCTCCAGCCTGCTCCTCTCTGATGTTTGCAGACCAGGGAGATAGGTAGGGAATGCAGTGTCCCTGAATTGTGACCTCAAACCCAAAGCAAACTGTGAAATACAGCCGTGGTCTGGGTGTATATTAAGAAAGAGCATGGATGGCTTAGACAGTTTAGACAGATCAGGTATTTGTATCAATTTTATAGGTGATGCCCAGCTAGCAACCCATCTTACCATATTTACCTTAGCCATCCTCCTCTACACATCCCTTTAGACCTAGGAAAATGATTCATCCTGCTGGACCTGACCTCACTCTATTTGTCTCTACTTGGCATTGGGTGTTTGCCACATAGAATCAGCTCAGTAGTCCTTCCTGGGCAGCTGAGCTTTGAGCGTGTTTCCCCAGGAATTCAAGACCTTTTCTTTTCTAAAGACCTTTGCATTGAGTTGATGAACAGAAGAAACCAGAGGTGGGTGAAACAGCAAACTCTGTGTTACAGTATTTCTGGGATAGATAAAGAGGAAAAGCCAAGGTAGGGAAGCACACCCCAAGGTTTTCTGTACCATTCCAAGAAAACTGCCACACCCTCCACACTCTTAATTTGATAGTTTCCTCTTAACTCTCTGGGGGTGCTCTGGCTCCCAAACTAACACGGGAAGCTCCTGGATACAAATGCCTTCTACTCAGCTTGGATTTGGGATGGATCTTTGTTGCTTTGCTGGGGTAGACTGATTTCTGGATTTCCTGTCAACTTCTTTTCTTTGGATCCCTCCACTTGCATTGCTTTGAACTGTGTCAATGTCCACGCTGCTTATTTTAAAAATATGTTGGCATAGTGATGTGGGATTCCCCTCTGTATGCTGAGAATATATTTTATTACCTTTGGTTAATAAAGAACTTGCTTCTGCCTATAGCAGGGCAGAATACAGCTAGGCTGGAAGAGATAGAGAGTAAGTAGAGTCAAAGAGATGCCATGTAGCTACTGGAACCTTACCAGTCGGCCACAGCCTCGTGCTGAGACACAGATTTAATAGAAATGGGTTAATTTAAGATCTAAGAACTAACTAGCAATACACCTAAGCTATTAGCCAAACAGTGTTGCAATTATTATAGCTTCTGTGTGATTATTCGGGTCTGGGTGGCCGGGAAATGGGTGAACAGTCTCTGCTTACAGTATAGCCAGTGCAGGGGCACATATCTGTCAACAAAGCCTCAGGAAATAGAGGAGAGAAGATCACCAGTTTAAAACCAACTTGGTCTATAGAGCATGGTTATCTAAAAGACCAAGGCCTGCGGATGCCTGATGACAGTTTTCCAGCTATGCCTGGGGTCCTAGGTTTGATCTGCAGAAGTGATTTTTAAAATGGAATTTTACCTAGCTTTTGTCCCTTTTCTCTTTTTAACTTAATTCTCACTATGGAGCCCTCACTGTACCAGAACTTGCTGTGTACCAGCAAGTACAGTGACCAGGCTAGACTTGAAGTCTCAGATCTGCCTGCCTTTGTTTTCCAAATGCTGGAATTAAAGGTGTGCCTTCTATCCTGTTTTCATTCTTTTTTTTTTCTTCCCCTTTTTCTTTTTCTCTAATGTTTTTAATATGTCTTTAGGACTTTGCTTTTTATTGTATCTTAGTCACCATTAATATATTCAAAATTATTCAAAACCTTAAGGGCTACTTTAGCAACAGATCAGAAAGTTCAACAGTTGACAGTTCCCTTCTTGCTCAATTCTAAGTACTTGGCAATACTATTAAATTTTTCTCCTTACTCCAGTGATTGCGGTATATATCATAGTTACTTTAGGTCCAAGAAATAGCTGAAGCTTTTTAACCACTGTATTTGTTTTCGTGTGTGTGTGTGTGTGTGTGTTTGGGCATTTTGTCTGCAAGCATGTAGGTGTACCACTTCCGACCTGGTGCCCACAGAGTCCAGAAGAGCCTGTCTGATCCCTGAGAATAGGAGTTACATATGGTTGAGTCACCACATGAGTGTGGGAACTCAACCTGGATCCTCTGAAAGAGTAGCCAGTGCTCCTAAATGCTGAGCCAATTCTTCAGTCCCAAGTGTTAATTTTTAATTTAAATTGAAGCTAAGTAAAAAAATTTAACTCCCTTTGTTAGCTATGTTTCAAGGACTTGGGAACTCATATCTGAAGAGTTAGGAGACTGGTTTCTACTAAGATGCTTGGAAGGCACTTAAGCTCAAAGAGGAAGAAGGAAAGAGGCACAGAACTGCTAGACCCAGTCAACCCCTGTGCTGTCTGGCTCTTTTTTTACTCACCTGTCTTTCCTGGATTTATTTTTGAGAGTCAACCACTGTCACCTCCCATGTGCAGTTTATACATTGGGAATTCAGAGGTGCCCCACTGTCTCCATTTTCTTCATTCTTCATCTTGCCAAAAAAAAAAAAAAAAAACTCATCTCAAGAAAAAAAAATATATTGCTTAAAAATACTTATAAGCCTAGTGTTACACAATTGTTCTGTGAAATCTGAAAATACCTAGTTTCAGATACACTATTGATCCACTAAAAAGCAAGACAACAGAACACTCAGTATTTGAACAGAATTAAGCCTCTTTTAGAATCTCTATACTAAAATGCAAGATACTTAAGTTAAAATATGCTAGCAATTTCTGGTACTTTATCTCTCCAGATTTGCCAAAATAACATCATTGGAAAAGGAAGCAGTTGTATCTTTTTATCAATGTATCTTTGATTCAAGCAATATTATGTTTAAATGTATTTTTATCTACATTTAAATGAAAATGTAGATAAAATAAAATGTAAAGAAAATGAAAACAGATAGTGTCCTCAACCATTTTTTTTACCTCCACATATTTATTAAGGAAGATGTCTTTGAGGGCAATTGTAATCCTATTCTTCTCCTGACTCATTTTGGATTAATCAAAAAAAAAAGAAAAAAAAGAAAGAAAAGTAATTTTACTTGAAACTTTTGCTTTTGAACCTGGTCTGGTTTTTCCATATACCAAGAATACAGAAGGAAAAGAATGGCTTCAGCTCAGGAATATGAGACCAGCCTAAGTGACATAGAAATGTTATTCCCTAAAACGAAAGGCTTTTAATTTTTACTATTTAAAGAAAAAGTTAGCCGAAAGTCCAAACTATATACTGCTGTATCATTTTGTGTTTTTTGACTTGATAGTGATATTCAACAAATTCTAGAAATTAAGCAAGAATCAAAAAAATCTTATTAAATACTTCAACTTCCCCAAACCTATTCCGTGAAAGGAAGAAAATCAAGGTACCTCCTCCTCTAAGACCGGGGATGGTCAATAAAGTGAAGCACATGCAAAGCTTTGTTTAAAACGGGGCCCAGATACTCTATCACCTCAGTTTCCTTAACCACGCTGACTCCCCAGGCCACAGCAAGCTCCAAGCCTGATACAGTATCTGTATTTCTAGAAAACAAATTTTCCACCGCCATCGCCACCGCCACCACCAAGCGTAAGTCATGAGGTTATTGACTTCTTAAGCTTCTGGTAACGGATGGCCTTCCACAGCCCAACCGTGTTGCTCACAATTGAATATAAAAGGGGAATATTTGTTTACCTTAAGGCAGGCAGGCAATTCTCTCCAAGTTCCTATGAGGTCCTTTTGTAGGCTTGTTTGCAACTCTCAGGATGAGCACAGGACCTCACACAAGCTAGGCAAACCCTCTACTAGAAACTACAACCCAGCCTTTGATTATTGAGAAGGGATCTTGCTATGAAGCCCGACTGGCCTCAAACTCATGATCGTCCTGCCTCTGATTCCCAAGTGCTTAATCTACGGGGTGCTCTAACATGACCAACAGCTACGTGGACCTACAGACCTGAAGGTGGGAGAGGAGAGGAGAGTCCTCCTTTTGCTTCTCAATTTTACATCTTGGTACCAGAGAAACAGGGCAGCTCGCCCAGATGGTTGTCCTCTCATGCAAGCAGAATAAGGAGCTGGTCTCCCTGAACTCAGATCTACTGCAGATGGGACACTGGGAATCTACCCAGTAGGCAGTCTTACAGTCCTGGTGACACTACACATAACTGCAAGTTAACATATTCAAGAGTGATTAGTAGGGTTTCTATTGCTGGTCTTAAAGATAACTCATTTTAGCCAAGAAGTGGTGGCACACACCCAGCACTCAGGAGGCAGAGACAGAGGCAGGCAGATGTCTGTGAGTTTAAGGCTTGCTTGGTCTACAAGAGCTAATTCAGGACAGACACCAAAGCTACACAGAGAGACTGTGTCTCAAAAATAAAATAAAATAGAAGAAGAAGAAGAAGAAGAAGAAGAAGAAGAAGAAGAAGAAGAAGAAGAAGAAGAAGAAGAAGAAGAAGAAGAAGAAGAAGAAGAGGG